CAGTCAATTTGCTGGGCCTACCTGCGCCTCCCTGGTGCTCAATGCCATATCCATTTGCAATATTTTTCAAAACACGATAAACAGTGGACAAGGGGATGTTCTACTTGAAATCACTTTAGCTGATCTGATGTCCTTGTAATAATACTCTAAAATCAACTTCCTTTTCTCTAAATCATCCATACTGAGGATCACTGAAAATGTCTGCTAGCAAGTAAACACAGGGGGATAACTCTTCACAAACTAATGAAAAAGGATTAACGGAGTTGTCTCTCTTGAATGAAACCAAGCACTTGATAGCTGGTCATGGTTGTTTATACTAGAAATCCCATTAAACATATTCCTAAAATTCTCAATAATTTCTGGTCATACTATATAATGCATTCTTATGAACGAAGAAGTAAGCTATTACAAGAATGATAATATTAAATACCACATTATACTTTTGTATTATCATATCATATCTTTATCCATATTAATTTGTATCGTATGCTGTGAATACCTGTATACATGTATGCAGATGGGCGTGTATACATAAATGCAAATTGTATTATAAAGTATGAAACTGTATGTACATGGGCCCGATGACCTTTGTACGGAAATAACGTTTTGATTGATTGATATTGACATCATACGACCATGTTATTATTACATTTTGGGGCATGTTTGTCTCTATTATTAAGCTACAGTACTTCTGTTTTGTGCGTATAGTCATATTTGCCATTAAAGTAATCTTAAAGGTTCAGTTTATGCAGATAGTAAATTACGTTGAGGTTTGGATATGTTTCCTTGCTGTGGTTGGTAACATATTGATACTTTGAAAAATATCGGGTGTTGCGATATATTTTTCCATGTGGATAGATTTAGTATCTACAAAGGCCTCTGTTTGTTGTTCTGTGTGGCCTGTCTGAAATGTGATCTCAGTATGCAGATGGCTGGAAAGTATCACTCATGCAATCCAGTTATACAACTGTTTCAATTGTATCAGTTTACAACCCATGATCATTACTAGCAAGATAGTATCGCCCTTTCTATCCATGTTTGGGGCTGCTATGATTGTTTCATCCTACTATCATTGTAGACAGCTAAGATGTAATATGTATAATTCATATCAAGATTTTCCACAGATAATGATACTTCTGCATATAGTACCTACTCAGAGTGTCAAAACTGCTCATATTTGCATTCAACATTTTCATTTAATCTATTCATATTTGAGCATTTTTTGCTAGCTCGATTGTCGTTGTAGCAGTTTGTATAATTCCTGAAAGTTTACAACTGAGTTCACTTTTCAAAGCTTTCTCTCATGCTTGCTGAGATATGTATTTTTTATTGTGACCAGAGTGGAAAGCTTGCCTTGCGTCAAGTTCATAAGATAATACAATTTCATAATCTTATCTCCATTCCCTACTTGGGACGATAGTGACGTTGAAGTGTACATTAAACGTGTGTTTGATGTAACCCAACAAGGAGACAAATCACTAACATTGAATATTTTCCACCTGTACAGGAAAAGCGTTGGAAGAAACTCGGCCATCTGAGTGAATTACTTTCAGATAAGCATATTATTTGTTCACAGAAACACATCTGGATGCAACATTTCATAGCCGATTATTAGCATAGGGCACAATATGATTTGGAAGTGGTGTAATTTATTTTAAAATGGCATATCCTTTAAAAGATGATAAGATTTAGATAACAGCTTAAAGATTCTATGAAACAACTAGGCTACAGGTATTTCTTCAATTATACTGTGTGCAGCATATATAGATCTGAAAGTAAAAATGTGGACTTCTGTGATAGCTTCGACACTGTTGTGGAAATTGATATAGATGTTACATGTAAACTAGTTCTTGTTTATTTAAATGAAAAGTTGTTATCTGGAGAACAGGACGTCCTTAATGGATAAATCTCAAACAATGAATCGGAGTAATGTAATGCAGTAACCAACTGTGGCTTTAAACGTCTCACACTCACTTTGATCTTATCATTATTAGTAATAAGGCATAAAATTCTGGAACATAAGAACACGCACGCACGCACGCACGCACGCACACACGCACAAAGTACTTTATTCAGAAATCCAGAACGGTTTTCAAGTTCTGCTCCGGAAAAGATCCCTGTCACCAATTTCAGTCGAGTTAATACGTGATGCCATGAAGACGCTAAAATATATTTTTTTCAGAAATCCAAACTTACCAAAAGGCACCGGTTCACCACCAAACTGTCTATGTGCCAAATTTGGTGAAAAAAACTTCTTTAAAGTTCTCCTCCGGATAAGAGCACTATCACCAATTTCAGCCGAAGCCAAAGCTGTTGCCATGGAAACGCAAAACATTTTATTCAGAAATCCAAACTTACCAAAAGGCACCAGTGCACCACCAGACCTATCTATGCGCCCAGTTTGGTGAAGAAATATTTAACGGTATTTATGTTCTGCTCCGGAAAAGATGAATTTGCACGACAGACGGAGTTCAAAATAATACCCCCAGCAAAAATTAAAAAATAGTTTTGTTCAAGCTTCACAAACACTCATTTCTTAAAATTAAAATCATACGTATTATCATACACAAGCTGAACATAGTTAGGAGTGCTTAACCTTTTTCCAGATAGAAGAATTATCAGTCAGCTAGAAACCATTATTTTGTCTGTTTTCCCGTCTACTGTAAAATGATGGAATGATTTCCCCTACTGACAAGAGAGTCGAGCACTCTAAGCTCTTTCAAAACTAAAATTCCAACTACAAACTAAATGTGCGCCGTCACATTTCTTCTGTGGTTTAAAGAGGTGCAATATGTTGCTTACACATTTACGCTATTCATGCTCAAAGTGAACTATGATATATTCAGAATTAGTATGACAGGCACCCCCCATCTGTCTCCGCGTGAAAACGTTCATCACTACTTGATATAATGTCTGCTTTATAATATACACTTCAAAAAAAAAAAAAAAAAAAAAAAATGAAACGCAAGGCGTTTTCATCAGTTCATTTCGATATATTTTGACAGCAATCGTCATTAAGACAATTTCTTTGTTTGAATAGCGTTAATCATGTCGTGTCGTGGGTGTTGCGTATTGCGCGATTATGGCATCGACATACCCGCTTCAAATCGACCCAAGATAGTCCCAGAACTTCAAAGCCAAGGGTGTCATCTCCGACTCAGGACCGATTCATCTGGGTGTTTAAACTACGTCATCGATTTGCTACAGCAACGGACACTGCAGGACAGGTGCCTGGTCTTCGATGAATTTCCGATCAAACCATCAGAAATCAGCTGAGAGGGTAGGAATTCGAGTTGGACCTGTCCTGACACGACTACATCAACAACGACGTGTCCAATGGTGCAGGGTACAGGCATGGAACCTAGAGTACTGTTGACGCGTTTCCTCCTGCAACGACAGATGGGAGACAACGAATGGACGAACGCACAAACGTCTTGCGCCGAACTGCGTTCGACAGGTTGACGGATTTGGTGGAGGTACGGTCATGTTGTGGGGAACCATTTCCTACACTGGTAGATCAGAGCTAGTCGTGGTTCAAGGCAATCTTACAGCAAATCGCTAACCTCTCCCCACTTTTAACCAACAGAAGGAGCCGTTTCAACTTGACAACGCTCTACCCGACACAACTCGTGTAACAGGTGCCTATCACGATATGCAAACGTCAATCAAATCAAATCAAATCAAATTAGACATTTGTATAGCGCTACATATCCAGAGTCCTGCTCATGTGCGCTTAGTCGAAAGCTCGTTTGAGGAGGATGGTTTGGGACAAGATCGGAAACTGTTGATATTGTCCAGTTTTCTGCCACTTTCAGGTAATCCATTCCAGAGTACAGCACCCGCTCTGCTAAATGTTCTGTCCCCGTATGTTGTGATTTGGACAAATGGAACATACTCAGTTTTCATTTACAAGTGACCTTTCCCATACAATCGGTGTGTTACCTGTCCATTTATGCTTATCATACTTGATATTTTTCTCAATCGCGCTCTTCGCCTTCTCACGGCACACCATGCTTCTGGTTCTTAAGAATTCCTACGCAAGCACCGAGTTTTGACGATCGCTTAATGCATATCATTATAAGTGCTGATCATATACTGCAATGACAAACATCTAGCAACTAATACAAACATATGTTGTCTCGATATGTATTTTATTTTCGAATCATGGCATGGGCCATGGACTAGTACACAACGCCTGTCAATAGCAGGTATGGGATCCACAAGATGAAATGACATACTGAAACCTAGGATCCATGCTTACAATAGGCTTAGCTATTTAAACCAAATTTGACCCCACATCATAGTTTTCTGCTGAATCGATGATTTGATTCTTAGCAAAGAGTGAATAGCATATGTCAGGTGATCTGAACGACCTTGTACAACACACATGTACGACATAACGTAGACGTCAGCATGTGCATGGAGACGTTTTACTTCTACGGTGTAATTCATATGCCATCACCCAACCTGAACATAAAACAGTACATAAAGCACAACATTTAGGTTCTAGTGCATCCGCTTTGCTTAACTCGGTTTCACCCAGAGCATGCCCAGATGTAATAAGAAGTGGAAATATGCAATAACGCTCGTTTGCAACATTGTTACCGCAATATTGCATTCAGAACAAACAGGGCTCGAAATTCTTTCATCCCAGCAAGCATATTTGACATATGTATTGGTGTTTTGTGGTCTTACGTATACGTATGTAAATCTTTCGATGTATTGTATGTGTTTCAATGTTAACCGTGTAAAGCAAATTTCCTTCGGGATAATAAAGCATTATCTAACTATCTATAAATACCAGCACATCACCACATCGCGTGGATATCTCCTTACGATATAGCGATGGCCGCTCGCAGTATCCATAGTTTAGGTAACCTAAGTTCAAAACATCTTAGACATAAAAACTCTCTCCCAATCGATGCGCATTTAATATCTCGGCCAATCAGAGTTGCTTTTGCATACGTCCGAAGTCACGTGAAGCGACCGGCCGTCGGCCAATAAATACGTCGAACTGCCATCGATGCCGATAGAAACGTTGTCATTCAGCATCAACGTTAAGGCGGTGAGTATCCACGTTGAATTTACATGTCTTGTTGAAGTAGTGTCAAACGTGACCATTGTAACCCAAGTGTATTCTGAGCTGATGAATTCAGATTTGATTTAATCATAATATATTCAGAAAGTCTTCAAAAGCATTAACATATACCTGGAGGCAAAAGTTATTTCACATGGAATTTTTTCATTGGCAATCTTGAGAATGATTTTTTGGATATACAGTGCGAGTGCTAATTAGTTTCCAAGTTTTGCTAGCCAATCAAGCTAACTTTGCCTGAAAGTTACTAGCCCACAAAATAATTCACTATACCGAAATTTGAATGTAGCCAAGGGTTTGATCATTAAGCTGATAATATGATGAACATTTTTTCTCAAGCCATAATCTTGCATGATTTAAACGTGTATTGTAACTTGACAAGTCGGAGAGAGTGATAGTTACAAAATGACCCCATGAAACTCACAAGCCAGTCGGGTGAGTGACTGGAGATTTACTGTCCCGACTGGATTTTTACTAACCTCGGGATAGCGGGCTATTTCACACACTGTGATATGAACCAGAGAAAGAGTGTTAATATGGTGGAAGAAACGTAACCAGGCAGTTGTTCGAGTTTCACGAAATTTGCAACTTATTTGAGAAAAATGGCCAGCAATGTTCACTTTAAAGGGCCTGATCCTAGACGATAAGATGCTTAACATTTCCACTCAGTGCAGTCTTAAGAAGTATTCTAGTCAGAAAAAGAAATCTGTTCATCATTCTGGAAGTTCGGCATGAAAAGGACAGATGAGAGCAATACTTACGTTTCTGTACCTTGCCGCTTGATGTTGCCCATTGATTCAACGTTCACAGAAACACCATTTAGCGACGTTTTCAGCCAATCAAATTATAGACCGTGCCCTCAGTGTCTGCCCATCTGTGTCCTCCGTCAAGACCGACGCCAGGGCATTGACGTCGACGTACAGTGTGAAACAACTGTACAGTTTCGTTTTAACTGAGATGGACGCTCAAACACTAGCTACATTTATACAAAGATCCTTATGCTACTAAACATGCATAATATAGTCTTATAGTGTCGAGTATTTGTTTATTTGTATCTTCGCCATACTCAGCAATACTCCAGCAATATGACGGCGGTCTGTAAATAATCGAATCAAGACCAGACAATCCAGTGATTTACATCGTCAGGATCGATCTTCGCCATTGATATGCACCCGATGACGTTAGTCACCTCCTACGACAAGCAAGGATTGCTGAAGATCAATTCTAACCCGGATCTTCAAGGGTCTGTTACCTGCAGTATGATGAATAGAGAATTTTTCATGTATCTAATGAAATGTGATGTATCTGTCATCGAGTGAAAAACGTAATATTTTCACGAGGGGCGTAGACACATGAAATGTTCTATTTATCACATACTTCCACTTTTACTTAAATTTAAATAATAATAATCCGAGAATATTGGATTAGCGAAGTCCAAATACTGCCAAGTGTGAACTAAAAAACTGTTGACTTATTTGTTCAGGAACACAGATAAGACACAGTTGGGTATTCGAAAATAAAATAAATATCGAGACAACATATGTTTGTATTAGTTGCTAGATGTTTATTGTCATTGCAGTATATGATCAGCACTTATAATGATATGCATTAAGCGATCGTCAAAACTCGGTGCTTGCGTAGGAATTCTTAAGAACCAGAGGCATAGTGTGCCGTGAGAAGAAAAATATCAAGTATGATAAGCATAAATGGACAGATAACACACCAATTGTATGGGAAAGGTCACTTGTAAATGAAAACTGAGTATGTTCCAATAGTCCGAACCACAACATACGGGGAGAGAACATTTAGCAGAGCGGGTGCTGTACTCTGGAATGATTTACCTAAAAGTGGCAGAAAAGAGGAAAATATCAACAGTTTCCGATCTTGTCCCAAACCATCCTCCTCAAACGAGCATTCGACTAAGCGCACATGAGCAGGACTCTGGATATGTAGCGCTATACAAATATCTAATTTGATTTGATGTGATTTGATTGACGTTTGCATATCGCGATAGGCACCTGTTACACGAGTTGTGTCGGGTAGAGCGTTGTCATGTTGAAACGGCTCTTTCTGGTGGTTAAAAGTGGGGAGAGGTGAGCGATTTGCTGTAAGATTGCCTTGAACCAAGACTAGCTCTGATCGACCAATGTAGGAAATGGTTCCCCACAACATGACCGTACCTCCACCAAATCCGTCAACCTGTCGAACGCAGTTCGGCGCAAGACGTTCGTGCTTTCGTCCATTCGTTGTCTCTCATCTCGTCGTTGCAGGAGGAAACGCGTCACCAGTTCTCCAGGTTCAATGCCTGTACCCTGCACCATTGGACACGTCGTTGTTGATGTAGTCGTGTCAGGACAGGTCCAACTGTTGGTCAGTATGCTCGAATTCCTACCCTCTCAGCTGATTTCTGATGGTTTGATCGAAAATTCATCGAAGACCAGGCACCTGTCCTGCAGTGTCCGTTGCTGTAGCAAATCGATGACGTAGTTTAAACACACAGCTGAATCGGTCCTGAGCAGGAGATGACACCCTTGGCTTTGAAGTTCTGGGTCTAACTTTGGTCGATTTGAAGCGGGTATGTCGATGCCATAATCGCGCAATACGCAACACCCACGACACGACATGATTAACGCTATTCAAACAAAGGAATTGTCTTAATGACGATTGCTGTCAAAATATATCGAAATGAACTGATGAAAACGCCTTGCGTTTCATTTTTTTTTTTTTTTTTTGAAGTGTATATTATAAAGTAGACATTATATCAAGTAGTGATGAACGTTTTCACGCGGAGACAGATGGGGGGTGCCTGTGAACTCAATTGTAAACTTTCAGGAATTATACAAGCGGCTACATCGACAATCGCGCTAGCAAAAAATGCTCAAACATGAATAGATTAAATGAAAATATTGTATGCAAATATGAGCAGTTTTGACACTCTGAGTAGGTACTATATGCAGAAGTATCATTATTTGTGGAAAATCTTGATATGAATTATACATATTACATCTTAGCTGTCTACAATGATAGTAGGATGAAACAATCATAGCAGCCCCAAACATGGATAGAAAGGGCGATACTATCTTGCTAGTAATGATCATGGGTTGTAAACTGATACAATTGAAACAGTTGTATAACTGGATTGCATGAGTGATACTTTCCAGCCATCTGCATACTGAGATCACATTTCAGACAGGCCACACAGAACAACAAACAGAGGCCTTTGTAGATACTAAATCTATCCACATGGAAAAATATATCGCAACACCCGATATTTTTCAAAGTATCAATATGTTACCAACCACAGCAAGGAAACATATCCAAACCTCAACGTAATTTACTATCTGCATAAACTGAACCTTTAAGATTACTTTAATGGCAAATATGACTATACGCACAAAAAAGAAGTACTGTAGCTTAATAATAGAGACAAACATGCCCAAAAATGTAATGATAACAAGGTCGTATGATGTCAATATCAATTAATCAAAACTTTATTTCCGTACAAAGGCCATCGGGCCCATATACATACAGATTCATACTTTATAATACAATTTGCATTTATGTATACACGCCCATCTGCATACATGTATACAGGTAATCAGAACATACGATACAGGTTAATATGGATAAAGTAGATAAAGATATGATATGATAATACAAAAGTATAATATGGTATTTAATATTATCATTCTTTTAATAGCTTACATCTTGTTCATAAAAATGCATTATACATGTATATAGGTTGAACATTTTCAAACTGTCATACGAGTTGCATCAATTTGTCATAAGTAGTTTCTTAAAGTTATGCATATTCGTTTTGAAATTACTTGGTCAATATTTACGACGTAAGTCATCATATCTAGGTCAAATGAAAGTAAAATGGTATTCGTCTTCTAGACCTCCGTAACAGATAGGACATGTTCTCAAATTTGCGTTAATTTTACACCATCGTCCTTTATCAAATTTTAACCTTGGTAATCCTGCCCTAAATCTAACTAAATATTTACGTAATTTATAATCTGCAATTTCAAAAAAGTATTTTTCAGGTTTTAATAAGCTTTTGAATTCTCTCCATACAAAATATAACGTGTGCTATTGTCAAGATCGGATCTCCAGTTTTGTTTAAAACTGTCAATAAGTGCGGTCATTTTCAAGATTCTGGCATACAATCCTTAACAAATCAAACCAGTATCCAAACTGGACACAATGTCAATAGCCGGTGTAGCCTCCACCTACTGTAATAACAACCCTGACCCTGGATACATTAAATTGAATTTGCATGACACTGAGATGTTGGTTTCCATTCTTGATGGAGGGCTTGTTCCAATACATTCAGGTTTTTATACTCCAGGATCTCTCTGACGTATTGTGCGACCCTACTGCCCCAGTTGTTGATAAAGGAGCCCCATATCAGCAACAAAATCAACAAATTTTCTAAGTTATCGGGTTAAAAACAGTTCCCTGAAACGATATTTGCTTAAAGGTCACATGCAACCAAAAAATCAAACATAATTAACACACAATTATCACTTATTCATGACATATAATATACATTGCTGGTTACGAAAAAATATATAAACAAAATTATAAGCGTACAATCGCAAATCGAAAGTGCAAAATTGTGTACTTCGGTTTACTTCCCAAGAAACGAAGCAACCGGGATACCGAACCCAGTCAGAGCGGGTGGGTGTGCACTCAAGTGTAACGGCTGGTTCATTTGCAGATGCCGCCCCCACGGCTCATTGTGTGTGTATATATAGAGATGTTGGGTTTTGTAAATACATGCTCATTTTTTGTGTAAAACATTTTGCAATCAACAGACATCATAACTTGTCATGTGTTCAAGTATCACACCTGCCTGTCTGTGTAATTACATAATGTGACAGAGACCGAACTCGGGCCATAAATCAATGCATTTTGTTTATGGTGTATAGCCTGTTTGGTGTTAAGTTCAAATTGCATGTGGTCAGTGATAGCAGCTGTGTATTGAATATTGTCATTAGCAGACAGGCAGGCAGACACACAGATGTCAATAAAACAAGACATTGAATTTTGTCTGTGACAAGGACATATCTATATCACAGTTAGAAATTCGGTCAACGCTAAATAATGACATTGCTTTTAAGTATCGAACTGAGAAAGTGTCTCGGTAAGAAGAACGTGTGGTGAAATGGACAAATGAAATTATATAAACAGTTAATTTACAGTCATAACATATAAAAAGCTCGCGCCTGTGAGATATCAACAAAACATTAGAAAAATAGCTCACACCAAAGCCTTCACCGAGTATTCACCCGACAACCATAGATTACCTCTCACGGTGTACTCTCTAGCGACACCACAGACCTTTTAACATCAAACCTAAAATAACATTGTACTATAAATGTGAATTGTGTATTTCATTTAATAATTACATGTTCTTGTGACGTTAACTGAGACTCTGGAATATTTTGATGTGATGGCGTAGACAGTCTGTACACGCAGGTCACAACGTCGGGCTTCCTCTATGCGTGGTTGGGTGGCTGTTTGTCTGCATGGATGGGTTGTGAGTGGATGGATGGATGGGTTGTGGGTGGATGGATGGATTGATGGATGGGTTGCTGGATGGATTGGGTGGATAGATGATAGATAGCTGGACGGATGATGGTTGGTTGGATGGTGGATGGGTGGGTTGGTGGATTGATGGGTGGATGGATGGTCGGGTGGAGCAGATCCATGACAGTAATGTATGTGTTGTGGAGAAATCTGACCATGACGTGTGACAAGAATGGTTGAGTGGCATGAATTGCCGAGGGGCGTCACAGAAATGTTTAACAGACACGTGACGCAAAATTTTGACAGCAATCATATGGATGGCAGAAATCTTTGACAGAAATGGGTTTGACAACATTAATGACATGGGTCTTCGCTTCAGACAACATCGTGACTGCTGCAACAGTTCCTGGACAGATTCATCCTTCTACAGCGATATTTTGAGCATCCACCCAGTTTCTGCCAAGTCAGAAGGATGGGAAACTTTCCACTTTGCCTTCTTTTCTTCATCCTCATTGCCATGGGTGAGCTATAAAAACATAATCTTTCTTTGTACAGAAACATCTTTCTTCAAAACACAACGGACATATTGCATTTGTCATGCTCAGTGATACACCAATTTGTTCGAGCTTGTGTTGTTGAAACTGAATTCCAATCTTAATACTACCAACAGCTTTTTTATACCATATGTGTGTTATTGTCTTTATTTATGCAGATATATATAGAACGTCATATTAGTGCATTCGGATGTTTTGTATTAAACGATAAGATGTCATGGGAGCAGAGAATCAACGAGTTCGAAGACCGAGTTGTTTCGCTGCTCCCATGACATCTTCGAGTTCAATGAAAAACATCCAAATGCACTTGTATGACGTTCTATATTTATCATACACCCTCTTATCTTGCATTAATCTGTTACTTAAGTAAACAAATCATAGGAGTTCAATACGGAATCTGGGATGCAATACGGAATTTGACCACGTCATCCGTTTTGCACCCCTGTTTTACTATCCTAGGTTTACATGGGTATATAATAAGTAGGTAAAATATATATTGTTCCACTTTCGTCACCATGATTCCTTCAGCTGACAACTTGTATAGAATTATTGGCCAACACACTGTCCTTTCACTTATCAGACCTTAAGGAAAGACTACAGAATAAGAAGCATATCTTTCTTATTTGTGATAACTTACTTTTCATTTTCAAAATCGTTGGTTAGTGTTACTAACCGGAAGTCGTCCCAAACAATCCGATTTTAAATGGCTATTTTTCATTTTGATGCTCCCTTATTTTTTCGAATATTATAGGTCGTGCTTCATGCACGTGCATTTAGCACATTGTCCGATAATTACGTCAAGTCGAGTTTTCGGGGCCATGATGCGTTTTGGCGAATGTTTTCTGTTTGGGTTCAAACCTGTACCATAGTTTTTGTTGTTGTTTTTTCATACAATTGCTTTAAGAGTGATAACTTTCTTTTGTCCGGTAGTTTATATCAAGCATCGTATGGCTTGATGTGTTTTAATCACACTAATCTGTTAATGTAGAAGTAGAATCAACAGACTCTCATGAATTCACTACTATACAATATTGTAAGACAACCTGAATTCATTCTGTGGATCCATAACTTTGCCTGACCCATCCCATATTCTTCAAGTAATTCGACTCAATATTCATTGTACGATATGCATTTTTATTTATCACTCTAGCATCCGTGGCAGCTGAAACCTACTTAGAAAAATACGGGAAACTGAGGGAAGAATTAATCAATCCGTTAAAATACAACTACAAAGTGAGACCTGAAAATGAGACCTTCATCAACATTACTCTGGATTTTAGAACTCTGGACAAATTGGTAAGTGCATGTTTAGAATATCGATAGCGACTTCGAGGTTGGTCTAAGGATAGTGTGATAGTTAGCTTAGTTTAAGGGATACTGCAACTTGACCTGAGACTCCTCTCAGGATAGTTACGACTGGGTAACAAATGGGTTCTTCACTTAACTACAGTTACAAAAAAAAAGAACACCTTTAGAATACAGCACCACAACTTCTCGTGAGGGCGATCTCTGCCGTAGGTCACGTGTCATTAAGACAAGCAACCAGTTTGTGAGAACCCGTTGGACGCGAAACCGCGACCTTTGGATTGTTAGCTCGACAGCTAACCGACTGAGCTAGAGTAGAATAGGTCAAGGACAATTACGAATGCTACGGGTAGACTTGGTGTCTCGTGATTTTATTCTACGGACAATTGCCATTTGGCACACTCGTCCCATTCCGTAATCTACAAATTAACGTGTGGCGTGGAATGAGCCGATATGCCTCAAACTGAAAAGGGTTGTTGACGTCAGGCGTCAGACGTAGATTTCACGGTGCATGCATGAATGACGCGCTTTTATATAAATCGGTGATTTTGTGACAGAAAAGTGATGTAGGGAACACTGTAAGGATAATGTGGATCGCACTAAGGAACGAGAGAGACATGAGCATGTGTGGTGACGGCACGAGGGTGAGTTAGCCTTCGAATCATTACTTTACAAAATTTATGTTGTGTGTGAAAGAGGCAAATTCCAGGCCAATTTCCATTAGCCCAAAATTTCTACATTAATCCATTTCATAATGTACTTTCGATGTTTTTGGTTTCCCGTTTTTGTGTGAAAACAAAGTATTAAAATGCAAAAAGGAAAAACAACAAATGGTACTCACGTAATTACATCGGGCATGTACCTGCTATATTGAATTAGGTCCCTAACCCTAACCCTAACCTAAAACCCTAAACCCTAAACCATAACCATAACCCCTTGAAATAATCCTAATAAATAGAATGCATTGACCGAACCACCGGACATGTACCTACTATATTGCATTAGGTCCCCAACCCCAACCCTAAACCCTAAACCCTAAGCCCTAAGCCTAACCCTAGCCCTAGCCCTAGCCCTAGCCCTAGCCCTAGCCCTAGCCCTAACCCCAATCCATTGAATTAATCCTAATAAATAGAATGCACTGACAGAACCGGCACAAACACGACTGACGTGTCTAGTGTAATGCATTATTACCGCTTCGAAAAATAAAATACTAATAAAACACTTTTCTATGTAATGGTGCAAATTACTGAATGACAAAAATATATATGTAAATTAAAAAATTACAAAATACAAAATACACAAAACATAACACTCAGCAGCCCGTAATACAAATAAATATGAGCGTATTAGTGAAAAAAGAAAAATATTTCAAACTGGTGCTTGCAAAATATTGCGCATCCGCCGGTATACAACTACTGGAAACTCTCAACATCGTTGGGCTTATGCAATGACATAGCTCGTAGAGATGAAACACCAGTGAGCGGAGCTTATACGCACTCGCTGAGCCAGACAACCGTGTTGCCATGCAGGCGTCATAGGGCATTGTTTCGAGAACGTGCTTTCGAACAAAATCACATTACATTACGTAAAAGGGTATTATGACGTATTTTTAAAGTTTGTGGTGCTGTATTCTAAAGGTAGGCCGGATTTGTGTAGAGGCAGAGGGTCTGGTGGTAAACAAAGATTAAAAATATAAAAATGGGAATATCAGTACACATGCCGAAGAATGCAAATAAGGTTTCTATTTAGTGACATTGTGTTTGTATTGTTTCGATTTTTACACAGATATTAATTAAGTTAGGCAATCTTATAGTATTTTTGAAAGTTAAATTCATCCGGACTAATCCCAACTGAATTAATCCGAAATGTTTTGTAAGTGAAAGTTGGAAAATCACTCTACTCTAATTTTCTTGCAGTAATCATAAGCTAAGTGTCCAGAATGTTGATTTGAATCTCCTATGTTTTCAGGACATAGCATCCCAGTCTTTAAGTACCACGTTTCTACTTTATATGGTGAGTGCAGTCGTTCCAAAACCCTTCCCATCACACACAGATCATTATATAATTACACAAGTTAATGAGTGGTAGTTACTTAGTGAGTGAGTGAGTGAGTTTGGTTTTATGCCGCTTTTAGCAATATTCCAGCTTTATCTTGGCGGGGGACACTAGAAATGGCTTTCATACAAGTACCCATGTGGGGAATCGAACCCGGGTTTTCGGTGTGACGAGCAAACGCTTTAAACACTGAGCTACCCAACCGCCCCGATAGTTACTGAAGCAGAGAGTTCTCTCTTGTGGCTCGTCATCTCTTAGTACCGACCTCGAAGCCCCCTAGATCACAACCAACAATTCTTAGCTTCTTCAAGGGGAGTACTAGCGCAGTTTTTTCATATGGGTAAAAGCATCCTAAAGTCGCCTTCCATGAATAAAAACATCGCAATAAACACGTACAGTACGCACTTGTATTCCCCCCTATTACGGAAACACCCGACTGAAGCGGGTATCATGTGACATTACGTCATATGTGCCTGTTGCCAATGTCGTAATAAATTATCATGTCTTCCTACAAGATCCCAGCCTAGTCGAACAGAGATCATATAAGCAACGCGGATAATTTTAGTCCCGAAAATCTGGTGAACTATAAAACACTAGTCAGGACAATGTATATTTCCCTAGTTTCAGCTTATGGAAATAGTTATTGTACTAGGTCATAACCTTAGAATGACATCAGGTCAGCCAATGAGAATACAGAGCAACTTTCACGGCACACAATACTGGCAAAAAGCGGGTCTAATGCCGACGTGCATAATTCGACAAAATGGAAATCAATGAATAAAACAGGTATTTCTTTCTTTGCCGTTGTAATTATAGATAATAGCTTTTTTCCGGTTGACTGTAGTATTTTGGGATCCAAATCGGAATTCTGAAATTCTTCACGGGTCGACGTTTCGATGTTAATGCTGACATCGTTATCAAGATTATCATTGATAACTGTTGTGAGGATCTTCACTGAAACGTAGCATCTATTGCACAAAAGAAGTTGTCAGACCATAAAACAAGCAATTATCAATGTTGACACAGTTTTTAACTAAGTAATTCATATGACTCTGTAATCCTAGAGAAAGGATAAAATGTGGGCAGTATCTAGTTTCTTCTTTCTAATTGTATACATTAAGATGTAACTTGAACATAACTACCGTTCTCTATGTTTTAGTCATGGATCGATGAGCGACTCACTTGGCCATCAACAACTGACATCGAATACATGATATACAGCATCAATGAGATATGGACACCTAATCTTGTTATCACAAATTAGTAAGTACATGTCTAACCACAATGAAGAGATATTTCCAAAAACGTTTAAGATGACGTCTGTGTGCGCCTTCAAATATGCTAATATGCCATGCTAGGAACCTTGTAATGCAATTATGTTCTATATTGCAACTAGTCCTGACGATTCCCCAGACACAATGAAGCATACAAGGTGTAGATATATAGAGGATACTAAACGACCTTCCGTGTAATACCAATTTTAATAAACGAGTTAATGACTTGGTATCAAACGAGCGAAAGCGAGTTTGATACTAAATCTTTCACGAGTTTAATAAACATGGTATTTCACGGAAGCGAGTTTAGTATTCTGTTTATTACTCTCCAACATAAATTGATAGAAACTGTCTAGAGTGTGATGACTTGAGTCATCTTTCCTCGAGTCAAGTAAGGTCTAATGCCATTGTGACAGAGGTATAGCATTGTGACGTCATAACTGTAACCATTAGGACGTCATACGTTTAGCCGTAAAAATATTACATAGAGAATACTACACGAGGTCTCATCACAAACGAACTATACGAAACTCGTGTCCTTCCTATGGTATCTGACCGAGCGAAAGCGAGGTCAGATACCATAGGAAGGTCACAAGTTTCGTATAATCCGTATGTAATGAGACCGAGTGTGGTATTTTATTTATTACCCACGTTTAACATGCATTAAATTGACAAAATGGCGTTTTTGGGGATTTTTTTTATGGTTTAAAACCGAAACCGGTTTCATAAAGAGGTTGCGGAAGAGTTTGTACTGTAGTACAATATTTGTATGACGTCGCACTGTAATGACGTCACTACATTGGTAACCGACGTCAAGTTGTCATCGCCTCGTACAGCCTCCTACAGTAAACTACCCCGTTTCTTGGTTTGCAGTTGCTTCATTCTGCTAACACCACTGGTGGAAACATTGCATTTATGTTTTTAGACGGATATAATGTGTCAGTTCGACTCACAATTAAACAGCGACACGGCAACGTTCGCAATGTTTACATTCCCACAATGCATTTAAGTTGTAGAATGAATGAATTCCCGTGTTTGTTATGAATGAAAAAATAGTTACGTCAGAATGTGACCTAATTGAGAAGTCGTCGGTTATCCAATCAAATCGTTAGAATCTCAGGTCAAGTCGTTACTACACAGGTCAACGCGATACGACACTCTGTGACGTGCGAGATTAGTATGCAACTACCCATACGTTGACCACGTGGGTAATAAACAGCAGTATCTTACACGGGAGAGTAATAATTTAATATATCTAAGATGCTTCGGTGAAAGATCAAAGGCGCCGACAGTACTTTATCAGACGATAATGTGCACTTTTTGCATTACGTCACAATGTAATGCCATTCTAGTCTGCCCCCTCGTAATCGAACAATTTTACATTACGTAACAATGTAAGCGACGTCACAATGCATGTCAGTTGTCATCGCCTCGTACAGCCTCCTACAGTAAACTACTCCTTTGCATCTCGTTTCTTGGTTCGCAGTTGCTTCACGCAGCTAACGTAACAGGTGGAAACATTACGTTTATGTTTTCCGACGTTTTAAATGTCTCGGTGAAAGATCAAAGGCGCCGACAGTACTTTATCAGACGATAATGTGCACTTTTTGCATTACGTCACAATGTAATGCCATTCTAGTCTGCCCCCTCGTAATCGAACAATTTTACATTACGTAACAATGTAAGCGACGTCACAATGCATGTCAGTTGTCATCGCCTCGTACAGCCTCCTACAGTAAACTACTCCTTTGCATCTCGTTTCTTGGTTCGCAGTTGCTTCACGCAGCTAACGTAACAGGTGGAAACATTACGTTTATGTTTTCCGACGTTTTAAATGTCTCAATTCGACACACAGGTTTTCAGCGACACGGTAACGTTCGCAATGTTTACATTCCCACAATGCAATCGTGGAGTGTCGCTTGACTACTCAGCATCGTCTGGATGTACCTTGATCTAAACTTCTACTTTGGTAGTGAAATGCGACGTCTCACATGGTTTACGTTAATCACAGATGAAATTAAAATAATTTAGAGAATATATTTAATCCTGAACGTAAACCGTCATCAAACTCTTTATCAGTTGATTTTCTGGTAACGTTCGTCTTAACGTAGGGGTGGTACACATAAATAGAACAGCGCCAGTTAGCCCTAAAAGGAGGATTCTAGGTCCGACACCGTCGGTTGTTTTTGCCTTAGATTAATCGTCATTAACCTTAGAAAGTTTTAAAATTGGTGATCTAGAAAGAAATGTAGTTCGCTCAATCTCATACTATGGGGGAATAGTTATCACTTTCGCCTTGAATTATGACGTTGAAGCACTCGGACGTTTGCGTCCTCGTGCTTTTAACTATATAGTTCAGGGCGAAAGATGCTTTATTACACTATATATGGTGGTAGAGCGAACTGTATTTCTTAGGTATAAAAGTAAACGCAGATAAAGATTTATAGTCACCCTCTGAAGTTGGTGACGCATGCGTAATGACTTTTTACTTAATCATGGCCTCATGGCTGAAGATTTAGAGAAGGAATGAGATGAAAATTTAACCGAGAGAATTATTCTTTACTCTTTAATATCAGTTTTTTTATAAGGCCAAGTTAAAAAGTCAGTTTTATATTAAACCTCTAAATATCAAATCGAATAAAAAAATTAAATGTCTATATTTTAAGTTTTACATGTCCATGGACTTTTCCACTAAAAGAGAAATTCTTACCTTCTGATGCTACGGTGTTGTTTTCAGTATGGACAATGTTGGGCTGTTGGGGATAATTGAAGACGGTCCTGTTCCCCTCAGGGTGTCTAATGAGGGTCACGTGGTGTGGGCTCTCCGTGAAGCCGCCACGACTACGTGTGAGGTCAACGTCACGTTTTACCCGTACGACCATCAAACATGTAACATAGAAATCATGGAGTGGGCGCACCCCATAAGTGAGGTGGATCTCCTACCGTTGGGCATTCATAAACATTCTTATCTGGAAGATGGCGAGTGGTCGTTTGAGAGCTCTTCTCAACATATCGAGGAAGAGATAGGTTCACACAATCAGACTTATAGAAGGATCAAGTATACTTTCAAATTCCGCAGGTACCCTGATTGGTATATTCCGTTGATGATGGTACCACTGTGTGTTCTGTCGCTCCTGATGCCAGGTATATTCTTAGTGCCGGAGCATTCCGGAGAGAAGATGGCCTACGGTCTGACTGTGATGCTGTCATTTACAGTCATCAGCTCATATCTTTTTGAAAAGCTCCCAACTGTTTCAACCCAAATCTGCTTGGTGGGTAAGTAAGAGTGAGTGAGTGAGTTGAGTTTCACCCTGCACTTAGCAATATTCCAGCTATATGGCGACGGTCTGTAAATAATCGAGTCTGAACCAGACAATACAGTGATAAACAACAAGTACATCGATCTACGCAATTGGGAACCGATGACATGTGTCAACAAAGTCAGCGAGCCTGACCACCCGATCCCGTAAGTTGCCTCTTACGACAAGCATGGGTTCCTGAAGATCAATTCTAACCCGGATTTTCACTGGTCAGGTAAGTAACAAGAACCAACAACCCCACACTGCTGACGACCAGGTGCCTGACTCTAGAGTGTTAAATGGGACTGGGTTTCACATGACCAAAATCCGGATCTGTACACTATTGAAATAAACATAAATACAGAAGGAAATACATGCTATGACCAGAATTTACGTATGTTCCCAGATATTTCCTAATTGCGGGCATATATTTCATATAAATCTTTACTTTTGAAGCATATGCTCATCGTACATTTTCGTATGCACAAGTACCTCATTCATGATATTGTCGTCCGGTAATTCCGCGCACCTAAGCACATCGATCGCAACACGGCAACTAACGTCTCATATTTTTTGTGGTTTACGTGACTAAACATGCTGGTATGCATCATATTTACCTAGAAATCTAAGGTTTATTGACGACAATTCTAACGTTGCATTATGCCATTCGGTTGACCTTACCGGCATTCTGACGACATCGCGTGCTGTCCGGTAATTCTGCGGAGCAACTGACGCGCATAAATCGAGCTTGAGATCCGAAGTATGGAAGCGTATTAAGGCCAGATTCTTTTCCAAAAATTTCAAAAAGCCGGCAATTATTCACTTTTCGATCACATTAACTGCCTCGTATGTTGGTCGGTTAGTTTAAATTTAGTTAATATGAACAAGCTACATAGGAAAGAAATACGGTTTCGTCTTTAAAAATAATATGATCAACAAAATATAATTTAAAAACATATACACGTGGCATCTTGGTAAATACAACCTAAATATTGACATGGAGTGTTGTTTGCTTGTGTCTAATGAATGTAACACATTACAGTAAAGTTTAATCAGTTGATAGTTTCGAAATAAACCTTCAAATGGAAACCGTCACTGATATGTTCCAATCACATAAATCTATGTTACCCAGAGACTGGAGAGATGGAAACTAGCTTTCTGTTTGATGACAAGCAAGACTTACTTTGCCGTTCTCGATGTGTCAAACACAATGCAAGTAAACACAGTGTTCTGTTTGCAGGTGTATACATTGCTACATCGATGACGTATGGTGCAGCTATGATTGTTGGTTCATTGGCGTTGCTTTCCTGCGGCGACACCAAGGAAAAGAAGGAAAACAAGGAAAGTGAGGAAAACAAGGAAAGTGAGGAAAACAAGGAAAACAAGGAAAGTGAGGAAAACAAGGAAGATGTGAAGTGTATCAAGATGTTAGCTGGTACTTACTCCCTTTCGGTACAGATAATTATGGTTTGCACGTTAGTGGGGCTTTTGGGTTGTAATACAAGTAACAGCCTTGCTATATTGATTAGTGTTCCATTACTCCTTGGCTTGGTGATCACTATAATAATACCATGGAGATGCTTATGCCTGTGTTTGAAAGCTGTAATATCAGGCAGATGTAATATATACAATAAGTACCTGCGTTGGAAAGCTTATTGGTACGGAAACTCCACAAACCCCACAGAGAAGGAGATGTCTGATCGTACCCATTTAGTCTCTTCGAGAACTGACAGACCCTCGTATTCGGCTGAGAGAAGTTAGTGATTTTACCCAGGTTATTGTTTAGGTACTAACATTAGTTTCAAGCAGAAGACGATTTCTTTTAACTGCTCTAATAATGTTGGAAATTTGCAATGAAGTTTTCTAAATTTGAGGAAATAACCTTTTCATTGCAGTGAACAAAACACATGTTATGGCATCTAATTGTTAAACATCGTTAAGATAAAGCTCGTTGCTTCAATATTGCAAGCGTACATTAAACTGAAAAGGACATGTGGCATAAAACACGGTTATACACATTAACATCCCCAAACGCCAAGTGGATACATTCTTTTGTAGCTAAAATTAGTTCAACATTGACAAAGCAACATATTCACACGTGTCCGAATATGGAGCTACCAGCGAGTATTATGAAAATGTTAATGAAAATGTTTCGTCATAAAAAAGAATATCTCATTTAATATGTTAGTTTGACAAAACGCCACTGTGTTTAACTTGCATGTCCAGCATATAGTCATGCGCTTCCATCAATACTCTCGTAGATTTCATGAATACAAATTTCTCGAGTCTAATTTGTATGTGATTATTTTCAAATATATGATAAAGTGTTTTAGGGATCCTAATTGTTTGTTTGGTTTGGTTTTTTGTTTGTTATTTGGGGTATTTTTATGTTATTTTGTCATATTCTAAAACCCGGAAATGCATTATCAGTAATAATTACATGGGATATTGGAACGATTATACGGATGCATCATGTGTATCAGGTGACAGTCGTTTGCAAATGTACATTCGAATTCACGCAGTTCACTTGCTGTCTCGAAAGTGGCTAGTAATCGAAAATTTTAAGTAAAGACCACACTGCAGTTCGATGCCAGTCTTTGAAAGAACGTTATCGCGAAATTAGTTCCAGTTTACGCTGTGGCACGAGGTGCCCAGTCCTTCAAGGCGATTCGACCCTGATTCACTCTCTAGAGTTTCGTCCTGTCCCCTGAGCATGGCCTAAACCTATGATCAGGGATTCAATCTCATTGTTAATTAAAACTATTTATTGAAACAGGAAAGGGAAAATGTTTTGGCATCCATATTACATTTCCAAATGTTTATTTCTGAATATGAGTTTATAGCTTACAGTGAATTAAATAGGGTTTCCTTCACTTTCAGCAGATTTCCTCAAATTACATTGGCATACATAGTTTCAGGCATGAAATCGTAAATGAATGAATCTTTAATTAATGTTTAATGCATAATCTAATCATATAAATGAATATTGAACATCCGTGCAAAAGGATAACCCGTCTTGACTATCCTCAGTATCAGATTCTAAAATGTCATCCATCAATCCATCCACACAGCATGGTGTGTGCATAATTCTTCGATTTCTCAAGATAAATATATAATTTATCTTTCGAACATATAGCGTCCAAACAAATTGTAAGTGGATTAATGATTTACCAGATCTAAAAGTTTCAATATGTGACATGTATATATTTATTCAGAGTTTTCGACATTAGTTCTTACCAATTGTGGAATATTTGCATTTCTATTCTTGTCATTATGAAACTATGATGAATAAAATCGGATATTGATAAGTTGTCTACAACGTTTGTAATCATTCCGTAGGTGAGGCTGTTGTTAAAAAGACTTTTCCAAATATCTAGGATTGAAGAATTCATGGAGAGTTTTGTAAAAGCAATGAAAACTTTTGAAAGGCCATTACCAGTATCTTTGAGATTCAGGTTAGGGTTGGTCTTCAGCAACCCATGCTTGTCGTAAGAGCCGAGTGACGAGATCGGGTGGTCGCTTATTTGATTGACACATGTCCTCGTATCCCAACTGCGTAGATCGACGCTCACGCTTGTGATCACTGGATTGTCTGGTCTAGACCACAGGCATATAGCCGAAATATTGCTGACAACCCCAAAAGGACAAAATTAAAAGAAAGGAGAATTCATGAAGCGTCGTGTAAACAAATCATTGTACAAGATGTTACCCTCTTCCTAAATACTTACATGAAATACTTACATGCAGTTTTGTACCCGTGAAGGTCCGGGTTAGAATATTGATCTTCAGTAACGCATGCTTGTCGTAAGAGGCGACTAACGGGATCGGGTGATCAGGCTCGCTGACTTGGTTAACATGTCATCAGTGCCCAATTGCGCAGATCGATGCTCATGCTGTTGATTACGTACTGGATTGTCTGTTCCAGACTCGATTATTTACAGATCGTCGCCATATAGCTGGAATATTGCTGAGTGCAGGGTGAAACTCAACTCACTCACTCACTCTTACTTACCCACCAAGCAGATTTGGGTTGAAATAGTTGAATAGATCAGATGATGCCCCTTCAACAAACCCCTCTGGTATCTCATACGTATAAACCTTCTGAAATACATTGAAACAGTACCGATTACTTGTGTGCATGACATTGTATTTGTGAATGAACAGTTGACATGAAACTACACATATTAAGGAGGTCAAACTGGATTAAGATTTTGTATTTATAAGAGACAATTGTATAATTTTATAGCATGGAAAGGAAGGAGCATCGTAATTACCTGCATAGCTATATGTTCAAATCCACTCTCTGGTTGTTGCAGCTTCTGAGCTATCTCGTTGAACACAACCACCTTTTCTTGTTTCACTGATTTGATCATCGACATTTTTGGTATACATGGCTCCTCAGGGCCCTGTAGTAACCTTGACCCTGATAGGACTCCTTGACCCTCCCAGCCCTCAGAACAAATGCTTCCAGGTTGTCAATCAAAGCTCCACACAGGAATCCAATCTGAGGAGTAGTAAAGGGATACTGTTTGCGGGAAAATTGACTGTCCTTTTGTTGGCTTGAGTAACTGCTGTTGTTATCAGTCTAGTAGGAAGTAATTGCTCCAATTACACAGAGATAATTTCTTAAGCAGTTACACCAGAAAGCTACGAAATTTATTTATTTATTTATTTATTTATTTATTTATTTATTTATTTATTTATTTATTTATTTATTGTATCATTAATTAATTAATTTATTGATTTATGTATTTAATCAATGTATGAATGATACTACAGAGTGATACGACACATACACTCCACACACCATACATTGTAAAAGAAACTGAACATGGTTGGTGCATGCCAACGTACCGTGTGGTCATGATGTCAACCTCTAGCCTGCCAGGTGCAGCTTAGATTATTTACAGTACGCAGTTGTACAGCAAGAATATAGCTGGGTGCAGTGTGAAACATCTAGCAAGACATACAGGCCTTTAAAATCACTCACCCATCCTACTTCCATGTACAGCCATTAGATATTATGGGACGGTATGGTAGCCTACTGGTTCAATCATTCGCTCTTCACGCAAAGATCTGGGTTCCCTCCCTTACAGGAGTGCAATGTGTGAAGTCTGTCTTGAATCACCCACTGTGATGTTGCTGGAATAATGCTAAAAGTGGAGAAAGTCATACTCAGTATTTGCTTTTACGGTAGTATGATTTTACCTCGCTTTTAGCAATATTCCAGCAACATCACCCCGGGGGACATCTCTTCCTTGGTCCCGTTGTACAAAACAACCTTAGCTCTAGGGTTACCTTATCTCCTTAAGTTTTAACCTTAGGCCTTTGCTAAGGTTGACGTCCCCTTATACGAATCTACCTTACGCTAAGGTAGCCTTAGTTAAGGTGAAAATTTAAGGTTGGTCCGACCCAACCTTAGTGTGGCTAAGGTTGACATTTCGAGTAAATTCAATATGGCTACATTCTTGTTGATGCGTGATGAAACTGGAAAAAGTTTGAGAAAACAGCGTGTTTTTCCGAGACTAGAAAGTCCGAGACTGACTTGGAACTCATATCCCAGTATAGACTCACACGTGAAGCTATTTTCTGCCTCGTGGACAAAGTTCGCCCAATGGTCGAAAGACCGACACAGCGTTTCCATGCTATGGCAGTCGAATCACAAGTCCTCTTAACTTTGAGATATCTGGCAAAAGGAGGATTTCTTTCTGAAATTGGAGATTTGCATGGTCTGGACAAATCCAGTGTTTCTCGAAGCTTTCATTGCACGGTGAATGCAGTATGTACCGTGTTAGACAATATTACTTTTCCCTGGAGTCTACAACAGCAAACTAAAGTTAAACAAGATTTCTACCGAGTTGGTCATTTCCCCAAAGTTCTCGGTGGTGACCAAGTGCCTGGTTCAACTCTTGACTCCCTGATATGGAGTAACAGTCAAGTTGGCATGAAGATGGAAGAAACTGCACCTGATGGCTGGCTACTTGGTGATTCAGGGTAAACCATTTAACAATAGTCATCTAACAGTATATGTTGTGGTAGTTATACGTTTGAAGTGCAGTAAACAGATATACCATTTCTGTGTAGCTTCCAAGCATAATCGCTGCTATACCAATTATTGATATCATACATTTTGAAACAAAATTAATGTTATGTACCTCATACTCATTGTACAGATATGCATGCAGACCTTGGATGCTGACCCCCTTAGCAGATCCTCAGACAAAGCCAGAACAGAGGTACAATGCAGCCCATATCAGGACAAGGAACACAGTTGAAAGGGCATTTGGAGTGTTAAAGTCAAGATTCAGGTATTATATTCATGGTTCCATTTGTGTATAAATGGTGATATGACAAAATATAGATATATAGTATTACTCTTTGGAATAAGAATAACCTAAAGGCTTCTTGATTTCCTCCTTTTTGTTATATATTCCATTATATTAGTGCACCAGGATAGTTCTCTTATCTTTTGAGCTGTAATATTCATAATGTACATAGAGAATACTACATTTATATCTGTGTGTTAATTTAAAGAATATTACAACCAGTGAAGAACATTAATGTTTCACCTGATAAAGAATATCATTTATTTGTTTATGGAAAATTTTGTTGAAATTGAACATAACCTAAATTGTACAAACATAATATTTAAGGCACAATTTCTTACTGTAAGTACAGTAATGTTTATCTGACTTTTTCAGATGTCTCCATAAGTCTACTGGATGTTTATGGTTCAGTCCACAAAGATGAGTGGCTGTAATCATGGCTGCTTTCAAGCTGCACAACGTCTGCATAGACAAAAATATTGCACCACCGCCAGAGGACACTGACATGGAAGTTGATCATGCTACTGGGGAAAACTGTCCTGCCTCTAGCCAGGATGGATGTTCAACAAGGAGGAAGCTGATTGCAGAGAGATTTACATAGACTGTAAGCAAACAATACAGTAGTCATAAGTTGATTAAATACATGTATTTATGTTTATTACAGTGACATAGATGAACATATATTTGCAGATATCAAAATAGATACCAACAAAATTTATGAATATTTTACTTTTAAACACAGGTGAGATACTGGGATGTTATCATGGTTAGGAAGAATACATAAATTGGATAACTGGGGAAAGAGTATTGGGAGATTTGTTGCCTGGATTAATCAGCATATGTTGTAGCAGTTGAAATTTTGATTTCTCTAGATCAAGTCTTTCTCGCTCTAAAGTGAGATGGTCTTCCGATATTTTTAACATCCTCTTTTGCACCTCAATCAGCTCTTTGAGGGCATCTGCTTTTGTTGTCTCCATTTCCATGATGGAGGCAACATATTCAGGCTGGTGCTTTGGGTTTTCTGCAATAAATGTTATAAAATTCAATTTATATTACATTACCAGCACTTCCATGTTATTTGCTCATTGATCAACATGCTACATTTCATTCCGATAAAAAAATATGAAAAAGAAATCAATTGTAGAAGTCTTATAAAGTATTTGTAAACACATTGTATTTATTATTTGATATTATTGAGAATTCTTATTCCATGATGATATGGATAGCAAAAAATAGTTTTGGGCATGATTAAATAACATTTCATGCAACATATTTAACAATTTCATACCAGATTTTCTTTGCCTGCACCTGTTCAACTTTAGGTCCTTATCTGTAACAGGCCAGAAAATACATCTGTTTTAAATAAATGTTAAATGCCTAATATAACTATTAAACGACTAATGTAACATCACATTAATATCCTACAGAAACAGTAGAATTTAAACAACACTCCAATTGGTTATTTATCATTTCTTACCATTTGAGGCTGAATTATGACTTGGCTGATCTTCTGCTGTTTCCACAGGTTCAGCCATAGAGGTAGCCTCATCACCATTGATGGTTCCATACATTGATATAGGACCTGCAAGGAATTAAAGGACTTAAAGTTCTGTCAATACACATTGTAAGTACATATATATGAGATTGTTAAGCTGTGACTAACTGACTTGATGACAAATTTTAAACATGCTTTTAAAAATATTAGTTAAGCATACCAGGTGTTTCGTTGCTTTTCCTCTCATCGCTGGTGAAGGCCGAATCAAAGTACTCTTCTGTGGGAAGGCCACTCTCACTGACCATGTTCAGTGTTTGAAAAACTGAAAGATTTATGTTAATTATTACCTAATCATCTATGTAATGTCAGACCAAGCTAATATTCATATGACTATCAGTAATAATTATTGAAAATACACACCATGCAACAGAGGAAATGATTTGAAAATATTCAATCAGCTTAAAGATTGTTTTAACGATTTGGAACATATTCTGACAATGATTGAGAAAAAAACACTCACTTTCATCAACCTCAGACTCCAATCCACCAGTTATCCCTTCAATTTGGCACTGTGGAATCAGTGATACAACCTAAAAACAGAAATATTTATATTTCAATATGTGTGTACTTGGAAGAAATAAATCAACAGATGTGAATATAATGTTGTAACCCCGCAGGGAGGGGTGGTGGTTGTTATGAGAGAACACTTTTATCATAACCTTTATATCCTGGTATCCCTGAATTAACATTGTCAAAATGAAATTAAACTTAATGATTACTTTAAATTCCAGATCAGTCAGAGGTACTGGAGCTGGACAACCTCCGGCTTTGGATGATTCTTTTCTGACATCCATGCCTTTTCTTTTCACCTGAGATCTGTAAATTAATCATGTCAAAATTAGTTATTACCTGACATATCCAATTCACATTGTAAATAAAAAGCTTATTGTTATGTTTTCAAATACTAGTAATTGTTTGTCCTTTTTGCTTAAATAATGTAGATAGATAGATAGATAATTGAAAGTTTGATAGGTGTTCGGGCAACTGGGCCCATTTACAACTTGCCCATCATAAAGGTTTGCTACGTTTATACACGTTTACAAAGTAGTAAACCTGCCACACGCTTTAATGTAAGCAAGAGTGACATTCTGAACATCATTGCGAGTGATATTACTTGTACAAAACAGTCCAGTCAAGGAGATGTCAATATTAAGCGCTGTCAAAGATCCCACCAACACCTTACGATGAGTTACATATTTTTGACAATGCATTAAATAATGTTATTATACATCAAAACAACAGAACTTAATTGACCACAACCTACAATGGCATGCACATGTAAGCACACACGCACACACACACACACGCACGCACGCACACACACACACACACACACACACACTTCTGACACTTACTTATAATCATTCCATTTTTTTCTTAGTTGTGCCCCTGTTCTTTCCACTGAAGAGCAAGCACTTATCCTGGAACAGAGTGACAATAATATGATATATTTCATATATCCAATGAACATTATATTTAATTTGTCTATCACTTTTAATTTCCAAGAAGTATGTCTCAGCAAACCCAGCTGCAGTGTATAAAAAACTATCAAAATTAATTTTTTTCAGCAGAAATACAAATAGAATGCCCAGGGGGGGGGGATTGTGAACTTAGTATCATAACATAAATGATACATAGACAAGCGTGCGTTTACAAAACATTCAATGCTATCTGCTAAGATAAAAAAATGAAGACACTTACTTTGCAGCTATTGCATCCCACTCCTTCAGTTTAGTTTGGTTGGTAATAGATGAAGAAAATGATCCCCAAAAGATGTGGCTTCGACACTTCACCTCATCGGCCAGCATTGTTAGCTCGCTCGATGTATAGTTTGACAACCTGTTCCGTTTTCGTGCACTGCTAGTAGACGCCTCTGCCATGCCGAAGTATTGATAACACTAGTTGCTGCTGATGCGAGCAGGGAGATAACTCACAACCGTAACTACGGACATAATTGTATCTCCGGCACTAAAGATTTCAACCTTAGCTAAGGTTGCCGCTAAGTATCCTTCCAGAGTTAAGGTTGACCAAAGGTAGCTTTGTGCAACGGGCGTAAGTATATGTTAAGGGTACCTTAAGCTTAACCTTAGTGACTAAGTTCAACCTTAGTAAAGGTTGTTTTGTACAACGGGACCCTGGTATCCAGGACACATTAGCCAACGCATAGCTCAGATAGATGGCAAGACTTCCGCTCGTATCCCCCCTAAATTTTAACAATGAGGAAAAGTTTCTTTGAGTGGCATTTTTAAAAGTTGGATATGTCTTTCAGTATGTTAAGATACAATTAAAGAAACATGCTAAAACCCATCCTTACCAGATGAGGAATATATATATTCAGGTGATATGATTCGACTAGAATTAAATTTAAGGGGGCATACGGGCGGAAGTCTTTCCTTCGTTTCTTGATTTTGCCCCAAATAGTAGTCCAAATTACGAGGCAATATTAAGTGTCATTTCCAGATAAACAGGTTATTTTCTTACCACTTCCCCATCTACGATACATATAAAGTTCAAGTAGTTGTCATCTTCCAAGAACTCAGCATATTTACAAGGGAGATAATCCACGCCGTTGTACACTTCACCAATCGCTAAAACACTTTCATAGTCCCCCTGAGTTGCCAGTCGAATAGTATAGTTGCTCATCCTGCCTGAAATATACAGTTATATTATAGAATAGCAAGAATACTGACATAGAATTATGCACAAAGTGATAAGATGTCAGCATGGGGGAAGATGACGTCAGCACACTTCATTATATTAATACCGTGAGATCTACGTTCACACATATTATCCAATACAGAGAATTAACCAGCGCCCTTGGCAAATGTTATATCAAAATTAGGTTCTCAAACATGTAAAAATTGATGTCCTGATTTCGGCGTGACGATTTTAAACGTTTATCATGCGTCGTGACACATCTTCTGGTACATCTAGTGACCTGACGTGGAATACTTAAGTGGTGCATCTTGTGACCTGACGTGGAACACTCATGTGGTACATCTAGTGACCTCACGTGGGAAACATAAATGGTACATCTACTGACTTAACGTTGAACACATAAGAGGTACATCTAGTGACCTGACGTGGAACACTTAAGAAGTACATCTAGTGACCTGACGTGGAATACTTAAGTGGTGCATCTTGTGACCTGACGTGGAACACTCACGTGCTACATATAGTGACCTCATGTGGAAAACATAACTGGTACATCTAGTGACGTAATGTGGAACACATTAGAGGTACATCTAGTGACCTTACGTGGAATACTCACGTGGTACATCTAGTGACCTGACGTAGAACACTTAAGAGGTACATCTAGTGACATGACGTGGAACACATAAGAGGTACATCATGTGACCTGACGTGGAATCCTCATGTGGTACATCAAGTGACCTCACGTGGAACACTTAAGTGGTACATCTAGTGACCTGACGTGGAACAAATAAGAGGTACATCAAGTGACCTGACGTTGAACACATAAGAGGAACATCTAGTGACCTGACGTGGAACACTTAAGAGGTACATCTAGTGACCTGACGTGGAACATCATACCTCACGTGTACATCTAACAGACCTGAAGTGGAAACACATAAGAGGAACATCTAGTGACCTGACGATGGAACACATAAAGAAGGGTACATCTAGTGACCTGACGTGGAACACAAAAGTGGTACATCTTGTGACCTGACGTGGAACACATAAGAGGAACATGTAATGACCTGACGTGGGATGAATGCATAAGAGGTTCATCTAGTGACCTGACGTGGAACACATGAGGTACATCTAGTGACCTGACGTGAAACACATAAGTGGTACATCTAGTGACCTGACGTGGAACACATAAGAAGGTACATCTAGTGACCTGACGTGGAACACAGAGGTGCAGAAAACATAACAGGTACATCTAGTGACCTGACGTGGAATTTGATGAGCGTGGAACACATGAAGAGGTACATCTAGTGACCTGACGTGGAACACATAAGAGGTACATCTAGTGACCTGACGTGGAACACATAAGAGGTACATCTAGTGACCTGACGTGGAACACATAAGAGGTGCATCTAGTGACCTGACGTGGAACATTTAAGAGGTACATCTAGTGACCTGACGTGGAACACATAAGGTACATCTAGTGACCTGACGTGGAACACATAAGAGGTACATCTAGTGACCTGACGTGGAACACATAAGAGGTACATCTAGTGACCTGACGTGGAACACATAAGAGGTACATCTAGTGACCTGACGTGGAACACTCATGTGGTACATCTAGTGACCTGACGTGGAACACTTAAGAGGTGCATCTTGTGACCTGACGTGGAACACATAAGAGGTACATCTAGTGACCTAACGTGGAACACATAAGAGGTACATCTAGTGACCTGACCTGACGTGGGGCAACCTCAAGAGGTACATCTAGTGACCTGACGTGGAACCCGGGCAGGGTAACACCTTAAAATGGGTACATCTAGTGACCTGACGTGGAACACTTAACTGGCACATCTAGTGACCAAACGTGGAACACATAAGAGCTACATCTCGTGACCTGACTTGGAATACTCATGTGGTACATCTAGTGACCTGACGTGGAAAACATAAGAGGTACATCTAGTGACCTGACGTGGAACACTTAAGTGGTGCATCTTGTGACCCGACGTGGAAAACATGAGTGGTACATCTATTGACTTGACGTTGAACACACAAGATTAACATCTAGTGACCTCAAGTGGGGCACATAAGAGGTACATCTAGTGACCTGACGTGGAACACATAAGAGGTTCACCTAGTGACCTGACGTGGAATCCTCATGTGGTACATCAAGTGACCTCACGTCGAACACTTAAGTGGTACATCTAGTGACATGACATGGAACACATAAGTCGTACATCTAGTGACATGACATGGGACACATAAGAGGTACATCTAGTGACCTGACGTGGAACACATAAGCTGTACATCTAGTGACCTCACGTGGAACACATAAGAGGTACATCTAGTGACCTGACGTTGAACACATAGTGAGTGAGTGAGTTAATATTTAACGTCACATCGGCAATATTTCAGCCATATCGTGACGAGAACATTTGACATTTAAATAGAATATATATACAGATATTATAAAAACCTGCCGACGAAGGACAGTAAAACAACTAGAATATCACAGATATACATGTAAAACTAGTAATTAAATCTAAAACTTTTAACTTTAGGGGACAGCACAATAAAAATAGGCAATAGATCGCCAACAACTGGAAGGTAGATCACCATACTAGGGGACCATGGGGACTTACATTACTTTTGCTACCTGCATGGACCCTAGCTGGATTTACACCATCCCTTCAGCTGCTGGCGATTGGAAGAAATGTTAGCCAAAATTAAAAGAACAAGAATACTACGTTTAAAAATCCTGGCAAGTTTAAATTGACTTTGAAGGTTTGGGGACTTACGTACCCTCTCAGGAGGACAATATTTTTACGCTACGTCAACCCCCTTTAAGGGTACAGCCACTAACAATCTCAGTTACTAATAGAAACTACCAACAATATAATATTTAACTATTTACAGATTAGTCCACAAATCTAATTCTCTAAAAAATTCAACTATTAAATGATAATTAACATTATAAAAGACCCTTCATGTCTTGACATTAATATTTTCTTATCCCTTGTGATGGAATATTCAACACAGTCAAGCAGGACATGCTTGACTGTGATTCTTTCCATCACAAGGATGCAAAACGGAGGATCTTCGCCTTTCAGTAAATATTGGTGAGTATATCTAGTGTGGCCAATACGACATCGTCGCATAATGACCTCTTCAAATCTGGACTGACAACCCAAGTAGGTGTAACCAATGTAGGGTTTTATTGCATGTAATTTATTAATACCTACTTGGGTGTCCCACTTC